AAGAAAACAAAGACAACGCACATTCATAAATTTACGGAAACGCGCACGTCAGCCGCACACGGAAACGTGTATGAAGAAAAAACGTAGATCCAGACATTTACGGAAACGCGCACGTCAAACGCGAGCGGAAACGCAGCACACGGCGTATCATATACCGCGGCGCGGAAGTTTGACGCATAATTGCGCGCGTGGTGCGGGTCAATCATAAACATACGGAAGCGCGGCGCATCGCGAATGCGGATTTCCGTACATCCCAGATTTACGGAACCGCGCGTCGAACGCGTACGGAAACGCTGCGGTTCTGTTAAAAAGTATACGGAAAAGCCGCGCACGTCAATTTTACGGAAGCGCGACGCACGCACGGTGCGAGCGCGACGCATGACAAAAAAACACACATTGCGTTGATTACAATGCAGTTTGTATCGTATACGTGTGTGCATGTATATATGTGTGTGTACGTATGTATTCATATATATATATATATATATATATATATATATATATATTCACAGCCGTGACACATGTTTCTTCAATGTGCTACGATGGAGATCTCTCCCATCCCTCTCCATATTCCTAACATGACATGATGTTGGGTCATTAGGCGGAGTAGTCTCCGATCCCGGAGACGTCAATGACTCTCTTACCCCAAAACGGGATCGCGAACTACTCCGCGCCAAACCATACCAATTATCGAGCGAGATGCGATTGCGCGCGGAGTAGTTTTAGGAAAACTACCCCGAACTATTCCGCACGAGCGCGTCATTCCGAAAGGCAAGTTGAAATGAGTTTCGTCGCGGCGTCGTATGCAAATATACGCATGTATATAGATATCACATATTTGTATGTACGCATCATCAGTAAACCAGTAAACTCTCATGAAGGCTGATTTTTACATATACACAACTGATATCATCAAAACTGCACTGGTACATGCAAAACTGATCCTGGCAACTTCGCAACTGCCAAACCCATTTGTGTTGAGCATGCGGATTGAATCAGCCCTGAAGTGTTTTATATATATATATAAAGCACTGATGATTGTCAGGGCAGCGTGGCTGTGTCATCGTGCTGTGGGAAGTCCACGGCGCGGAGGCCTTGATGCGCGCGTGGGTGGATGCCCGGCCGTTCCCGCGCAAGCTTTACTTCTCTGAGTTCAAGGTCCCTGACGGCAGCGCCGACAGCGCCACGGGCGGCGTTGCCGCGCTCGCCCCGCGGTTCTCCCCGATGCAGCTCGAGCAGCTCGCGCAGAGCCAGCCCCCGCTCATCTCACGTGACATGCTTGCCCCTGGCCGCGTTCAGACGATCGCCACCACCAGCGCTGTCGCACGCGACGCCTTCGTCATCATGAACGCGCGCAACCGCGACATCGAGGCCGCCGACCGTGTCAAGATCCGTCGCGGGCGGCACCTCCATCGCACGTGGGCGGAGCAGAATTATCGCGCACGCGTTCATCGCAACCGGCGGTTTCAACGCGGCCAGCCGCCCGCCGAGCCGCTTTCTACAGCCGCGACCCCAGCATGCACGCCTCGCACTGGACAACGGCGCGCGTCAGCAGCAGCCGCTCTGGAAGACGTTGTTCGGCACTGTGCGCGAAATCGAGACCGACATGCCCGCGCGCTTCAGCAAAGCCAACTACGCCGCGCCCGCCTTTGACTGCATCTTCACCAGCTTGCCGTCGCACGCCGCGCGCGAGGTCGCTGCGAACGTCGCCATCGCCCACGACGCCACGCCGCGCCGCAGTTCTCGCTGTCCTTGAGACCGCGCACGCCGCTGCTCGAGCAGGCCATCCACCCGTCGATCTGCCGCGGCCCCAATTATGCGAAGTATTTGCAGCAGTTCATTGGTGCCACCGGCGACACCTGCCAGCCGACGGCCGATCGAGAATCGCTAGCGCACGCACAAACGCCTCATGAGAGAGGCTGCCCAACTTGTTCGTGATGACTGGTTTCGTCGGCCCACTAGCAACATCCACCGCGCTGGCTACGTCGAGGGCCGAGTGCTCGCCACGCGTTCGATCTCGCGGGCTGTCTGGCGGCGAGACATCCAGCTCGCGCGCCGCGTCCAGTCCACGACTGAGCTGTGCGCCAAGTTTTTCGGTCACTGGGAGCGGCTCAATTTTGCTTTCCGACGATGCTGAGTTCGCCATGCTGTTTTCCGGCCTGCACCGCAACCTCGAGGCCAGGCAGTACTCCCCCGCTGAACGGGCTGCCCAGCGCCCAGCAGGGCAGCCAGGCGCGATCAGCCCCGAGAGGATTCGCAAGGCTCTTCGGGCTTCCCAGCGCCGCGCTCTCCGTTGGGCCCCGTGGAGGCGCCGCCAGATGTTTCGGGGGGTCAAACTCCAAGTCCCTCCCGGGCCTCAGCCTGTCGCCGAAGAGAGCTGTGCGATCGCGGACGCGCTGCGCCCCCATTGGCAGCCCATCTTCGCCGAGAAGAATGCCGACGAGTTCAAGATCCGCCAGTGCATCAACGATCGCATGCCGCAAGGGGGGCCCATCGACGTCCGCGCCCCGGCCAAGGCCACGATCCGCCACTTCTTCGAACGCACGCACGCGTCGGCTCCTGGCCCCGACTGCCTGCCATACGCGGCCTGGCTGGCTTGCGAGGGCCCACTGAAGATCCTAGAGGGCCCTTCATAGTGTTGGTGTTCTGGCCAGCGCTTGATCCGCGACCTGAGCCATTCGGACTTCGCGCCCCTGCCGACGGGGGCCTCGCTGGCGTGCTCACTACCGACAGGGCGCCTGCGGACACGCGCCCGCCCCCGTTCAGAAACATGGCAACCGCGGCCTGCCAGCTGCATGTTCAAGGGCGCCGTGGCCAAGCGCGCGCACAGCTCGCAGCAGGGCTTCGCCGCCGGCCGCAATTTCACTGGGCGCGTCGTTCGCCTCGACGCCGAGATGCGTCGCGCCGGCTTCATGCCCGATGCCGCCCTGCACGAGCCGACCTTCACCAGCTTCGATTTCTCGGCGGTTTCCCTGTCCGTCGGTCGGGACTACCTTTTTGTCGCTTTCGAGCGGTTCGGCCTGGCGATCGGCTACGTGAACCTCTTCCGCTCGATGTGCCACGCATCGCCGAACAGCTACGTCAAGATCGCGGGGGTGCGCCATTCCACGCTCGCGATCGACTCGGGCGAAGCGCGGAGTTGCCCTGCCAGCGGTTCGGCGCGGGCGATCGCGATGGGCCCGATGCCCCGCCACGTCGCCTCGCACGTGGAGCACCTCGACGGCGCGTTAGACTTCGACAAAGGCTGCGTCGGCGGCTGCGCGGACGACGTCGGCCTCCCCGCGTACCAGTTCGACACTCTGAGTCGCGCTTCTGAGCCATTCCGCGCCGCGGAGGAGCTGGTGCCCCTCTCTCTCATGCCTCGCGCGCGCATGGTCGTGCCCCTCTGGGCCGCGGCGACCCCAGGCGCCATTGCCCAAGCCCGTTCCCTTCTGGCCGAGCTGTGTCCGGCCTGGGGCGGTTTTTCGATTGCGGGGCGAACCACGTACATCGGGGCCTTCCTTGGACCCCCCGCCCCCCTCGCCTTCCACTGGCTCGCCTCAGGGCAAATGGCGGCTAAGGAGTAATATCCTCAATCTCGTTCAGAGTGGCAGCGACGCCACGGCTCGCTTATACTGCGCATCGGCCCTGCCCACGCCCAGCCACGTTGTCCAGCTTTTTCGTCTCGATAAAAAACCGTGCAGCGCGATGACTACATCTTTCACCAGGTGCTCAGTCTGCCCACGAATACGTTTCGCCGCATCGATCTCCCCCCAATGGCGGACTGGAGTCCGCCGCCCGTCACTCGCTCTGTCCAGGTCACAGCTGTCGCTGATGCCGTTCGCCCCGCTTAACATACCCTGCTGGGCTCGTGGGAGTTTTTTAAACGACCACCTTGGCGACGCGGCGTGGGAAGGGGAGCACGATTCACACTTTTGCGCGGTGGTCGGATGGTGACTGATATGCGCCGTTATGGATCGAGCAGCGCTCGAGCGCTCAATATTAACATGCCCCGCGGAGGGGCACAATCATGCTCCATTTTCTGCTGCAGACATGGCCGCGGCGAGCCGTGCTGCGCGTCGGGAAGTTAGAGAAACAGCCGCCGCGAGCCCGCCGCGCCGCGCGAAGGTGCAGCGCGTGCTCACCCACAGTCTTCGCCTGGCTGCCTTCAGTTCACCATTCACGCTCGCGCTCCACCACAAACGCATCCGCGCGTGGAGCGCCCCACAGCCTCCTTCAGCCACAGCGCTCTCCAAAAGATGGGATGCTCCTTCACGCGAGTTCGGAGCTGTCCGCCCCAGCTGGCGCTGGGCCACCTTCGAGACGCTCAGCGGCGGGTGGACGACCACCCACTGCATGCACGCGCTTGGCCTCAAGCCCTGTGCGTTCGGCTGCGCGCACGCTGCCGATTCATTTCCCCGCTACCTCTTTTGGCCCGTCCTCCTGAGCCTCCTTCGGTCCCCTGGCTCGCATCCTCTTCAAAACACAATTACGTCCTAGGCTTTGGGCCCTGCTGCAGGGTACACGCCCAATCCCGGCAGCGACCTCCCGTTACGTCGATCGGTCCAGCGCGTGACGCTTGCTTTCCATTTGTACCACAAAATGAGACATGCCGTTCCGACGAGCGACGCACTTGCCTCAGCTGTCAGTGTTGCCCGTGCCCTAGTCTGGCGCTAACGTCGCCCTGCCAGCGCGGTGGCATCCACCGAGGTAGGAACAGACGTGCGCGCCTCAAGCTACGGTCACTCCTCCTATTCCTCCTCCTTTCCGCACTAATCATCGCCGTCATCATCAGCAGCATCGTCAGCATCATCTTCATTCTTGGCATCATCGTCATAATTATCATCACCATCATCATCATCATCATCATCATCATCATCAACAGCATCATCATCATCATCATCATCATCATCATCATCATCATCATCATCATCATCATCATCATCATCTTGTTCGTCGCTTTCATCTATGCCTACCCCCCTCCGCTCCTGCAGGTTCTGCCTCACCGCCCGCCTCCCGAGGCTTGGGAGTTGCTCGACAGGGGAGAGATGGCCAGCCCTACGGAGGTCGCCGACGCCGTGGTGACCGTGGTGAGGTACCTCCTCACGAAGCAGGCAGAGCTGGAGCAGAGTACTCAGATGTCCAAGGCCCGTGGAGGACGAAGAAAACGAGGAGGGAGGAGCAGAGGGGGTTTGACTGCCTCGCTGTTTTGGGGGGGCCTCTGTAGGGTCTCTCGTCGCCACGGCAAAATTCGCTTCGGAATCATAGTCAGAACGCTCTCTGGGCAAGTCTGGGTATCTGTTGTTGACCGCCGCCGGCAGCGGCCCTTCAGATCTGGACATCGTGGGAAGAACAAGGGCACAACGCGCGCTTTCCTGCGTCTCGGGCCTCGTGATTACCATGGACCGACCCAGTACGCGCTCAGTACACGCTGGTCGTTGAAAGCATATATTTCTGGATTCCCTGATCCCAATCTACTTCCAGCTTTTTCCTATTTCAAGAATCGGTGTGATGTTTCTGTGTTTCGAACTCTTTTTGGGGGGACTCAGCCCAATCTACTTTATTGTCCTTCCTACTTCATGTTTTTACCTACTTCTTCCGACCGGCGTATCTGAGACATCCAGAGCAAAAGGTGGGGTCGGCAGCTCCTGGCACGGATTTTGCACGACGTGGTTTCTGCCCACTGCGTCGGGCGTCGGAGGCCAGCGGCTTCCCAAGGTTGCCCCTGCATCCGTGCCCCTTCGGCCCGTCCTCGGCCGCTTTCGCTGGCCGCGCCCCGCTCGCAAAGTGTGGATATGGCATTCCGAGGCCCTCGCTTCCTTACCGTGCGTCCTTCTTGTACGGGTTGCCTGTGCCAAGAGGCCCGCCCGAACTTCGCCCGAAGTCCATAGTCGCTGGGATCCGCTTCTTGAAGGAGCGCGCCAGTCTCGTCTGGACCTCGGGCCGGGCCAGGGGCCCCTCGCGTTCCCCGCCTGCTCCTTTCCGGACGCCGCCGACGTCGAAAGTGTTGTTCCAGAATGCAGGGCTCAAGCTAAACCGTGTGTTGGCGATTTCGTGGACAATTGTCGTTTTAGTTTCGTTTCCCACCAGTGGCGGAACGAAGACAGAAAAAACGAAAGCAAAACGATGACGGAAAACACTGTTTAAATCGATCCTTGGCAGAAAGGGCTTTGCCGTCGAGAGCCCCAGAGTTTCACCTTTTGCTCGCCTGCGGCCGAAGCTGGTGGCAGGTCCGCACGAGTTCGCGGTCCTGTCAGCAGAAGTTTGCGGAGGTAAAAGTATGACCCCAAGAGACGTTTCTAGGGCAGTGTTCTAGGGCAGATGTTTCTAGGGCAGATGTGTTCAGAGTTTGGTTTCTAGGGCAGATGTTTTTAGAGTTTGGCTTCAATGTTACGTTCGGGAACGCTTGCTTGGCGTGCCGCGGCGGCGGCTCCAGCGACACGCATGCGTTTCGAGCGGATAGCGCGTGCTCCGCTCAACAGGGCGGGAGGCACGGAAAGGCTCGGGGCGTGGACGCCTGGGGACCGCGAAGTGGCAAGCGTGTCGCGCCGAGGTGTGGTGGGCCAGGACGAGCGCAGCGACACGCGAGCCAAAAGGTGCTGACCGCATCGTGCCGAGGCACGTCCAGCGAATCCCAAGGAGTTCGGCTCAGCTTCCTGGGTCCTCTGTTGGAGGATTTTGCTTTATTCATGCTTAGGAGTTCTTTCCTTGCATTTCAAGTGAACCTGTGCAACGAACCGTTTCCAACAGCCGTCCTTCCCCTCCTTCTCCTTCTCCGCATCCATGTCCTCCTGGCGCTGTTGTTGGCCCCGGTTATGCTTCTGCGGCAGCCGTTGTTATTGCTCTTCAGCAACCTCATCTTCCTCCATAGCCTCTTCTGAAGCCTTGGCCCGCTGTCCCACATGACGATTACGAGAACACAGCTTCATGATCTTAGGGCCTGCTGTTACATGATGCCTGCACGTGGACCCAAATCAGTATTGACATCTGCACTATTGGGGATCATCGCATTAGGGACCTGCTGGGCACGATCCTGTGATTTTCTTTGATATTACATACAGCAGCAACTCAGGCCGGGGCCCCGTTGGCAGGGCCCGATGCAACTGCACCTTGCACAATGACCAGAAAACCCAGGCCACACGGGCAGTTCAGGGCGGGACCCTGGGGGACACCCTGCAATTACCAGAAAATCTGGCGCCTGGAATCATGGAGGAAACGAAGGGCGTGACCCGATGGGCACAATCGGATGCAACGACCAGATGAGGGGACACAATGACCAGCACCCAATACAAACAGGCAGTATGCAACTCCAGAAAAAAAGGAATCCCAGGGAAGGATCTTATGGGCGGGACCCTATCCACAAAAGCCAGCAAACAGCAGCAACACAGGGAAAGACCGTGTGGGCGCGACCTTATGCAATTCATGGGGGGTGTGGCACATAGAGGCAACAAAGGGCGAAAGACCTTCGGGCGAGACCTTGTGCAACGAACGGAATGTGCGGCAGACAGTGGCAATGGAAGCCAATAGCCAGGATCCTTTACACGTGCCCGGAACTCTAGCACACGGGGGCAGCAGAGGGCGGCATTGTGGTGGCGAGATTTGGTGCACTTAACGGAACAGCAACCACGCTTGGGCAATTCAGGTTGGGGTCCTACGGGCGGCAGGACTCCTACGCAATCACCACAAAAAATTGAAAACAGGTTTTGTACTCCAAGGAGTCTTGGTGGCAATTGGTCGTCAAACCACAGGTGTCGCCACCATCTGAGGACTACAGGCGCGTCTATGTGAGAAGGCTCGCCGCAACGACTACCCCACCCTTGTAAAACGTTGGAGAAAGGCGTTTGGATAGCAGAGGTTCTGGCCAGTCCCAGTCACACATTCTTACGTACAGGAATTCGAAAACGTAATTCTGTTCAGTTTGTGCGTGGCACAGAGACGGCGATGGACCGCGGAGCCCTGCTCCCTGGGACATCCCGTGCTCCCTTGCCATAGCCTTGTTGCACCTCCTCTTCCCCCATCTTTTGCTCTCCCTCCTGGGGGGGGGCAATCGGAATAGGACCAAGTTGTTGGCACCCCTTCTCCAATCATCTTGCCACCCTCGTCACCTTTGTTTGGCTTCCCGCAAGGGCGTGGGGAGCGCGATCAATGGACCGCGCGGGCTGAGGGTCTTGAATAATATGGCCGAGCTCACAGCCTTCACACAGGAGTTCAGCGCCGTTGTCCTGTTCAGCGGCTTCGGATCCAAGGCGGGCGAACGCACAAAATACAGCTGCTCCACACCACCTAACACTACGTTTCCTTGGCACAGGGGAGGGGTCGGAGGAGGATGTAATCGCTTAGTTGTGCAATGAATTCCCCCCGCCAGGGGCAGTACGATAACATGAGTGAGGTCGAGGAGATATTGGAATTCATCGTCAAGGACCTCGACGCCGCGTTCGGGAAGAATTGGCTGGTGATGTATGGTGGTAGCCCTTACTTGGAGGATGTCAGGACGATTGCCCACGTGGCCCGCTTGCTTCGTAAAAAGTACGAGAAGATCTTGCTGGCAATACAGTGCGACTTCTACGGCAATGAGATGCTCTGCCCCTCAAACAAGGAGGAGTATGCCCACATGGAAGGTGGCGCCCTTTACACATACAAGACTCAGACAGTCATGGATGAGCACTTTCATAAAAAGTTTTTGTTCGGCGGTTATTACAGGTCCTGCATGCCCAAGCAAGATAAATTATGCGGTGCTTCATCAGTGTGGTATGGCAGTGAAATGAGTGCTCTGGACGTTCCGAACGCCCACGTAATCATCGGGGGTGGTTCGGTTGCTGCTGACGACGCCCAGGAGAGCTACAACAGGAAGATCCCCACGTTTTACGCCCGCACACGTAGGCGAAAGAAGCCGACGCAGGTCTTGAGACCAAAGTTGTCTGATCGTTACGGACAGATGGAGCACTGGGCAAATGCACTGGGACTCCCGCGTGAGGAGTGGTTCCCGCGGGGTCCCGATATGTGAGTGCTGGCAGCCGTCTTTCCAGAGTGCTCGTGTAATCTTGTGTGCTCGGTTGGTTGTTCTGGCTCCTGTGATGGATTCGTCCTACCCTATCCTTCATCATCCGTCCCCTCCTCCCCCGGGAACCTCCCGGCAGTCGGACAGCGCCTCCAGGCACAGCAGCCTGCATTCGTGTCGATGGTAGATCTCGGCGTTTTTCTGCGTGGGGTTTATCCGAACGTCAGAGGACCCGCTTCTGATCCGTTGGACCGTCTGCCCGCCTTCATGTGGCGTTCCAGCTCAGTGCTAGCAAGTGGGCGGGGTCGAATGAAAAGCGTTGTTTTGGTGCTGTGCTCCATGGGGTGGGCAGTCCTCGCCCTAGAAGGCTGCATGCCCAGGCCCACTGGCCAAGTAGCCAGGGCCCCGCTGCTTGGGAGGAGGAGAACCCGAGGAGGCGGCTCTAGGGGCAACTGGGCATGTGTATGTTTTGCACGTCCGTCGATGCGATTGACTGTGCTGCCTGTTCCACCGTTCGTCTCTCCCTCTCTCTCTCGCTGCTGCCCTGACCTCCGACGACACGTTTTTGGGAATGACGTGGGCCTCGCGAGATCTCGACCAAATCCCCAGGAACAGTCTGTCGTCCCGGATCGTTTCTTGATGGCCCCAGAGCCTGAATAGGTTCTCAGGAGATCAGAATTACAAACAAAAACAAAAAAATCGGTGCCGATGTTTTCGCGGCGATGGAGGTATGGGCGCTCATTCACCCCAGCGTGGCGCTTCTGCCACGCATGGGCTTTACAGCGGCAGCGCCACAGAGATCGTTGCGAATGCAGAGCCAGAGGATGGACAAGGCACGAGGTAGGAAAGGGAGGAAGAGGTAGGAGGAGATAGAGGGGCGAGGCCCTCGCAAGAGTGTTTACGAATAGGAGAAATCGTGCCGAAGCGTTCCGCAGTGCTCCGGAGCGGCCGCGGCGACGAATGCGTCTCCCAGGCACGTTCGATCTCGGAGATCCCGTGTTATCCCGGTTGCCGCTGCACGAAAAAGCAGCCTTTGGCCAGGGTGACTTTGTGTGTGCGGCGTTCGGGGGGCGCTAGGGGGCCAAACCCAGGGCTCGAGCTAAACGATGTTTGGGCGATTTCGTGGACCGGCTTCGTTTTAATTTCGTTTTGGAGAAGGAGGGAGAGGAGGAGGAATGATATTGGTATGGCCTAAGAGGGCCCCCACGGGAGTCCCATGCCGACCCCTCAACCATCATCATCTAGCCGTCAGTATCACCGCCATCGTTGCATCGTGCCCAGTTGTCAAACATTGTTGCAATCGCGGGGGTCGGACACCGAACCGAAACCAAAGTTTGGATTACGTGCGCATGCTTGGCACTGCACGTGTCGCACGTCGCCACAGGCAACAAAAACAAGAACGATAAACAGCAGCTGCAGGAGGACACCAGGAGGAGGAGAAGGAGGAATTAGGAAAGGAGTGCGGCGGCTGACAAGGCCATGGAATCCCGACAAACTGTCAGGGACCCAATTGCGTGTGAGTGTCGGCCATTTGCCCATGTTCGAAATTGCCATCTTGCAACTGGCTGGTTCACGAATGCTGCTTTTAGGCACTCGTGCAGGTCGCACTATTCAGTCACGCTTGTGCATAAATATCCACACCGCTTTGCGGCACCACGTCTGGACCAAAACAGGTGCAGGAACCCTTGCAAGCCGCTTTGGAGGAGCAGCTCATCTTATAATGGGGTCACGACCTCGTACGTCCTGTAGTCGGCGTGCCCCGCGGTATTCGTTCATCAACCGGTCTCAAAATACGGTTCATACGTTCACACAGTCTTAGTATTGGGGTTTACTAGGTCTTCCATGGCATGAGCTGGACGAGAGCCCGCGGTCGTAGCGGATGTTCGCAGTAACAAAAATTATATTTACAGTCATGATGCATGTGGAGGTAGCCGTGTGTCGATAACTATGGTATTGGTGATGAGTTGCGCATGGCAACGGTGGCGATAATGACGATGCTGTCGATGATGGCCACCACCTGGGTTAACGCAACGACGATGATAATACGAAGCACGATGATGATGACGGAGTCGTGTTAGATGACGTTGGCGTTACAGACGACGCGTTGGTGACAGGTTGCATGGAGGAGTTCGAGCACGTGTCACCGGCCACTAACAATTTCCGAACACCTGGGAATACCCTTGTAGGAGGAGGAAGAAGTTGACGACGAAGAAGCGAAGGGCGAGGTTTTGCCAATGCAATGCGTCGACGGGCGTAGTGGAAAACCTCTGGGGTCTTCTCGGGTTGTTCCCGTGTAGTGGTTGGGCCTCTTGAGCCGTATTGATTTGGATGTATTAGGGGTGTCCTTTTCAGGAGCCCATCAATTCCGTATACGTGCGAGCGAAATTCATAAGATGAGATGATGCGGAACTCACCCCGAGTGGATGGCACCCCACGAAGAGACCATATGTAAATATATTTGGCATCCCGTAAACTGCACAGACTCACCCTTTCAGGGTCACGCCGTTTTCATGTGATTCCGAGTTTGCTTTGGTTGAAGATTGGGGCTCTTCGGGGCTGTTTGGGGGCTCTTTCGTGCTGTCCTGGGAGCCTCGACGGGCCCCTTTCGGCCGTCTTGCGGCCCTCTCGGGGCCTCTTTCAGCGTTCTTGCGCTGTCTGTGGCCCTCGAGGCCATCTAAGGGGCTCTCGTGCGGAGCCCTGTTGGGCTATATTAGCCCTTTTTGGGGGATCTCTTGGGGCCTTTCGGGCCTCCCTTGCAGAGAATGCGAGTTTGGTTGACAAGTCACTCGTCTTTCATTGTGTTTGCCTCTTGGAAGCATCTTCGGCGTCCTCTCGTGGCGCTCTTGGTGCGTCCTGGAGGCCTGTTGGGCCGTCCTGGGGCCATCTTCGGCCGTCTTGTGGCGTACACGTGAATCTTGGCCTTTCCCGCGGTCGTTGTGGGTATGGTTTCCTCGCCCAGGGCGTTCAAATTGACCCGTCCAAGCCCGCTGGGCCATCCCCCCCAGAACAGTCTAGTCGGGGGGGGGAGGCAGCAGATCTTGGAACCGTTCGAAACCACCACTACACCCATCTCTCGGACGCGCTGCGCAGTCAGGACGAAATATGAAGGACTGCGCCCGATGCGGCAGGCCCTCTGGGCTGACCCATGTTTTGGCCATATTGGAGCGTGCCTCTTTATTGCTTGGGGCATGACGGGCGTCATGGCCCCCGCTCCCCTGTGACGCAACGCCCCGCCCCCCCCCAGTGCGCTCTGGACACTGCCGCCGTGCGCATCGGGATCTGCGTAAGTGCTTGCACAGGAATCCGCATAGGTGTCTGGTACACAGTCGTCATCGTCGTCGTCGTCGTCGTTGTCTTCGTCGTCGTCCCTTCTCGTTCGTCGCTCGTCGCTCGTCGCTCATCGTCGTCGTGCGCGCAGACGTGGCTGGAGCCTTTTTTTTATCCCGGGCTGGTGGCGGCAATCTTTTGGGGGGAGGTGGGGGGGGCCGATGGCGTCTCGTCTCGCGCCGGCGGCGTCTGGGAATGCTTAAGAATGACCGAGGACGGGTAGCAGCAGCATGTCGGTGGCGATTTGCATCACAACGCGCGTGTACACCACAGTGCCTGCGTGCACCACTTCGCCTGTGTACACCACACCGCCTATGTGCACCACAGCAGCCGCGTGCAACACAGCACGTGTGCCACAGTGCTCGCGGGCACCACAGCGCTCGTGTACACCACAGCTCCTGCGTACACCACATCCGCCGCGTGCAACACAGCACCAGTGCACACCACAATGCCTGCGTGCACTACAGCGCCTGTGTACACCACGGCGCTTGTGTGCACCACAGCAACCGTGTGCAGCAGAGCACCATTGTGGCATATAGAATGTTAGAAAGAATCCTTCTGACAAAATGGAGCGCTTGCGGATTCCACATTATAAACTTGTTTGATATAGGATTTGGGTCCGTATGGAGAAAGGAGCGCCGTTGGAATCTACGAGTCCTTCCGGATCCGCCCGCATCATACTAGTTCCTCCGATCTGCGTCCAGGACGGTCCAGGTAAATTAGTCGTCTGGGAACCAAGCTGCTTGATTCAATAGACCATTCTGCGGTGCACGCTGTGATGCGCACGCGCGTGGTAGCGCCGACAAGCACGACAGGGGGGAAGGGTGAGGGAGGAGGAGGAGGAGGAGGCAGAGGAAGAGGAGGGATTGGTGGAGGTGTACACCAGCGTTGCGCTGCACGCGGATATTGTGGTACAGACAGGCGCTGTGGTGTGCACGGGCGCTGCGGTGCACGCAAGTAGTGTGGTGTACACAAGCGCTGTGTTGCACATGGTTCTTGCGGTGTACACAGTCGTTGTGGTGTACACCGGCGTTGTGGTGCACGTGAGCACTGTGGTGTGCACAGGCGTTGCGTTGCACACGGCTGTTGCGGTGTCCGTAGCCATTTTGGCTCAAGATACCACGTCTCCCGAGAGGCGGCGTGGATACCGCTAGTCCGCGGACATACCCTGTTTGCGTTCCTTCCTCGGTCGAGCTGCGCGCTGCCGAGCTGAAGTCGCTGTCTTCTCGCCCCCAGCAGTTGGAGATATCTGGCCAGCGATGTCTTCCTATTGGCTGTGCGGGTGCGGCGGCTACAACCCCTTCAAGCTGCAGGCGTGCGCCTTCTGTGGGCGCAGCAAGCAGCGGCGCTGGCAGGGCCAGAGCGGCGGCGGCGGGCGCGACGGCAAGGGCCCCCCAGGTGTCCGTGGGCGCGGGCAAGGCGGCGGCGGCGCCCCGCCGTGGCTGCGCACGGGGCCCAAGGGCGCCAGCGGCCAGCAGCCCACCCAGGAGGCCATCTTCTGGCCCAAGCTGGACGAGAAGGCCATCGAGCGGGCTGCGGCGCTCAGCGACGAGGCCTGGGCAGAGTACCGCAAGGTGCTCGCGAAGGCCACGGTCGCCAAGGTCGACGCGCGCCGCGCCGTCGCCGCAGGCGGGCCAGGCGCCTGCGGGGCCTTCGCAGCGCACGAGGCCACCCAGAACTTCAAGCGCGTCGACCAGAGGGCGGTCGAGGCAGCCAAGACCGCGCAGCGCCTGGCGGCGGCCGCGGTCAAAGCGATGCTGGCGCTCGAGGAGGCGCAGCGCAAGTCCAAGGCCATCGAGGCAGAGCGCGAGGAGGCCAGGGCTGCCGCGGCCAAGGTCTTCGTCGTGCCTGAGGTCGTGCCCGCAGCCAGCCTCCTGGAGAAGCTTTCGGCCGTCGACCTTGCCGAGAAGTCGCCGCAGGACCTGCTCGCGGAGGCCATCGAGATGGTCAAGGCGGCGGCGCCGCCGCCTCCGCCTGCGGCTGCAGCGGCGGCGGCAGCTCCAGCGGCCCCAGCAGGCGGGGCAGGCGGCCACGCAGGTGCTGGCCCCATGGACGACACCGACGATGCGCCGCCCGCGCCCCCGCCCGACAGCATGGTCACCTTGCAGTCGTTCGTCAGCGAGTCGGATCCTGGTGGCCTGCTTATGGTGTGCGCTGACGACTCTGAGCGCAAGCGCCTGGCTACCGCCCTCAGCTGCCTCCGTGAGCACGTCGACAAGAAGACGCGGGCCGATGGACCCAAAGGGTAGTCGCAGGGCTGCTGGTGCTGCCACTTGCGCGCCATGGCGCGGGCCCACCATCAACCCGAACGCCCACTCCACCTTCATGGACTTCGCGGGCGAGGACGAGCTCGCCCGCTGCGACTTCGTCGCCGTCCAGGAGACGCACCTCTCCACGCCGCGTGCAGCAGAGGCTAGCGCGGCCTTCGACCGCCTGGGCTGGCATGCCCTAGCGTGCGCCGCCTCCGACGCGGAGGGCGGCAAGCCTGGCCACGGCGGCTTGCGCCGCCTGGCCCCCCAGGCGGCATGGGGCCGCCCCCTTCCTCGTCGACTGCCTTCGCAGCGGCGAGCTCATCCCTGGCCGCGCCGCCATCCTGCACCACGGCGGCTTCATGCGTGGCGGGATCACGTGGGTCAACGTGTACCTTCATACGGGCGAGGGGCTGTCGGCCGCCAACGTGGCCATACTGGAGGCCGTGCGGAGGGCGGTCCTGGTGGTCGGCCTGCCGTTCATCATCTGCGGTGACTTCAACATGGAGCCCGCCGACCTTGCCCAGGCCCCGTGGCTCGCGCAGCTGGGCGGCCACAGCATCGCTCCTGCGAGCGGCACTTGCCGACCCGCCGAGCGCGTGCTGGACTACTTTGTGGTCTCCTCCTGCTTCGCGGCAGCCAAGGCCACGACCCTCCAGGGCTGGAACTTCGGCCCTCACCGACCCGTCTTGTTCGAGGTGAGCACGGACCAGGTGCAGCCGCGGGTGCAGGTGATGCAGTCGCCCAAGCCTTTCCCGCGGCCGCTGCCGCCTGGTTGCTGCGCCCAGGACTTCGGCCCAGCCTGGGCCGCCGTGCAGCAAGCCGTGCCGCGCGCCCCCACTGTCGACGACACGTGGCAAGCCATCATCAGTGTCGCTGAGGACGAGCTGATTGACCGCTGCGGCCTCAACGAGCACGGCGACCTCTACAGGGGGCGAGCGACCCCTCCCATGCTCCGCTGGGTTCGCGCCAGCGTGCCCAAGATGTCGCGCTACCCCAGGCTGGACATCCAGACGTGCTGGATCAAGCAGTGGGCCATGGTCGCCAAGAACGCCTCATCCCTGGACGTCATCGGTGCCCGTGGGCGTGGTCGGCTGCAGCTTAACCGCCCGCGGCGCGCCTGGTACCGCTACGTCCAGCACGCTGACGGAGGCCAGCAGCAGAGCCGCCCCGGCAGCGCGCTTGCCCTCCTGCGCAGCGCCTTCGACTACATGCCGAGCGCCGCCCTCCGCGCGATCGCAGTGCTGGTGGACGAAGTGGGCGACATGCTCGTCGCATCCGCGATCAGGCGGGCCAAGTCCAGGTTCGGCGA